TACACTAATATATTGCTTCCATAATTGACCATCTCATAGAACTCTAATGCCCTTGGGAAAGAATCAAAGACTATAAAATTCATTTCTAGACACTAATGTATTTGCACCGCTTCAACTAATCTTCTCCTTGAATTTGATTTTGCAAGTTAAGAAGATGAAGTTTAATGGATGTTGAAATTGCCCATTAGCAAGATGATAGACTGTACATAGCACGTTACTCGTTATGGTTTTTATGTCATGTATGGTTGTTACAATTTAGAGCCAGTATTAATACTTGTTCTGACCAAAATCTTGCTATTTGACATTACATAGGTAAAAGACGCAAATCATTCTTGCAATTGCATATTTGAGGGGCGGTCTTACTGACATTGATAGTATGCTCTTCTACCGTCCATGGTTGTAGATGATTTGCTTATGCCAAGAGATTCTCAAATTCTTGGCATAAGCAAATCATCTACAACCATAACACAACTACCCTCAAGCTTTCTGTCGCAAGCACATGGTTTTTTTAGCTTAACAATCCTAGAAGCAAGAAGGCGTTTAACCTTAAGAAATAAAATAAAGCGAAAGATAGACAAATAATGTCCTCTTGTTTGATTGGAGAGAAAGAAAATAAAAACAAATAATGTAGGTATTATCTGTATTTATCAAAGTTAATTCAGCAAAAGAGAGTGTTTTAACTTTGTTTGGTTGTGTTTGTGTGAAAAAAGCGAAAGATAGACAACATTGTAATTTGCTGATTTGTACTTCTCTTCATTTAAATGTTTAAGTTGGGATATTTTTATGGGCATATATGTAAATCTATCATTTAAAAAAACTGTCAGAACTGTCGGAAAATAAACTCCCAAGCACAGGTTGGGTGTTTTAAAAACCGCTACTAACAACCTCTCAAAACCGTTACGGTGGTTTACCCTCAAAATCGCTACGATGGTTTACCCTCATAACCGCTACCATAAAACTCCCAAGCAGACCCTTAGGTATTGTAAGATTACTGAGGTAATCTTTTTTTTTGTTACAATTCTATCTCTTATTAATATAATTTTAGGACGATAATACCCTTATTTTTAAATTTATTTACATAAATCTTACTTTTACCATTTCATCCCAATTAATTAACTTTTTTGACTAAATTACCCTTGAAATCAAAACAAATTTCAGCTTACCCAAGCCACCACCCCCACCCACCTTGTAATAGCCACTACTACTCAAATATTCATAATGAAATACATACAAAATAATATAAAGAAATTGGACCCAAAATTTTCTTTTATTAAATATATATATATATATTCTTTACAAAACATATAATTTTTTACCACACACTATAATGTGTACAAAAGATATTAAAACATGGTGGACAGTGTAACCGCTTCCCCTCGCATGTCGACGTCCATCCGACTGCGTCCTCACCTGGATCCTGCAAAACATAGGAAAAATGGGGTGAGCACTAAAACAATGCTCAGTAAGTAAATCATCTACTCATCTATCCCCGTAACTCTCTCTCTAATTCTTCCTTACAACTTCTCATACCATTTCTCTTGGTACTTCTCTTCTCTTTCTCTTAGAACTCCTTTCTAGTAACTCTCTCTAATAAGTCACGGCCATCCTACCGGGGGCACGGCCGGGACTCACTCCCACTCTACGTGACCTATCTCATTCTAGCCGATCGGACTCGATTATGCATGGATTCGGAACCCTTGCCATGGAGTGTATAATCTCTCTCTCGGGTACTCGGTATAGCCCTCATCCGCTGCACTCTCACAGCTACACCACTCTCTATCTGATACTCGTGTCGCCTCTCAATGCGGCGTACACGCGGGAATACTCTACCCATTACTCACGGGTTCCCCATCGATAACCTACTTATTCTCTTTCTCTTAGCTCTTAAAGTAGCTTATACCAAATTCTCTACTATGTCTCAAGCTACTTCTTAAGTGTATAACTAGCTCATGCTCACTAATACACCAATGGAATGCCAAATACAAGATTTCCTCAAAACAGTCATTCTGCACAAGTCACCACTAAAAAGGCCATAACTTTGTTATACACCTCGGATTGCTACGGTTTTGTCTCGTTTTAAAGTTAGAAACAGGGCTAAACTTCTATGTTTTGGTCTCAGCCCAGTTCAAACCGTAAGATGCCAAAAATTACCTAGAAAGTCACGGCAGTGACGGGCAGACTTCACTTAGGCATTTCATCAAACATAATGCATGCATACTTTAATTCTAGTTTTGATACATCTTTACTTCTTTCTTTAACATCCATTAATGGAGCAAAACTACCCCACAATAAATCTAAACATGGCCAAGAAAAACACTTCAAATTCTACTTAATTTCTTTCTAAATGTAACCAAACTTCACTGGTTACCACAACTTCATTTCTACTTCTCATGGCTCAAATCTTCTCATCAAAAGCCATCAACTCATCAATAATATCATTCTCAACAATCAATCTCAAGCTCATAAACATAAGCATACATATGCATCATTGATTGCTTGAACCTTAACTTGGGTTGGATTTACTTACCTTGTGAAAAGATGACTTCTTTAGCACTTTTCCTTTCCCTTGTTATCTTGTCTCCTCTCTCAACTCAAAACAACACAAGAACAATAGCAACCAAATAAGACTTCACTATAATTATAAGAAAATCACATCTAAAGCATGAATCCTTACCTTAGATGCTTTAGATGAAATCTCTACTCAAAACCCTCTTAAATCCCTTAGAATCTTGGAAGATTGGATGGAGAAATTGAGAGAGCTTAGGCAAATGGAAGAGGCGGTGGAATGAAGTATAAAGGGGTTCTCTACACTCTAACTCTTTTTAGCTATATTAAAGCATCATTTCCCATTTTGCCCTTGCCCTTCCTTGGAAAATCCATCTATATCCTTTGATTCTTTTCAAATACACCCCCATCCAAACACAATCTCTACTAAATTTCCTTTCATTTTACTCCCCACTTTTCCTACTAATTAGGGGTAGAATGATCATTGTGCCCCAAAAGAAGAATTCTCTAGAAAACTCAAGAAACTTTGTATTAGGCTCGTCGCCGCGGCGAAGCAATTTCTGTCGCCCCGGCGAAACAGGGCAGAACCTACCAGTGGGTGCAGCTCCTCCTCCTCACGCGGCGAAGCTTCTTCTTCGCCCCGGCGAAGATTGGATTTCCAACTTCACCAAAACTCAACCAATTCAAGGCAACCATTCAACCAACTCAACATACAAACTCAATTGAAACTGAAATAGTAAACTTTTAACTAATACATCAAATCTTAAATACGTACCTCAAGTGGGATATTACACACCTGCCGCCAGCCAAACTACCGCGGGCCGCCGCGTGAAGTCGTTGGAGATCGCCTGAAATCGCCTTGAATAACCGAGAGACACATGGAGGCTCCGATGTGGCCTTTTCTGGCCATATTAATGGCTGAAAAGGCCACATCGGAGCAGATATGGTCGTTAACGGCCAGATCCATGGCCTTTACTGGCCATATCTGAATGAAATATGGTTGTTAAGGGCCATGGATTTGGCCATTAATGGCCAGATCTATTTTGGTCTCCAATATCTCCATCGCCGCTCTATCACGTCTCCTCTGCGTCGATCTCCTCTCCGATCTCATTTCCACCATCGACAAAGAGCCCAAGGTTGCTCGATCTAAACGATGCATTTTCTAGCTTCTTTCGTCCACTGACGATGGCGGATGGCGGTGGCGGGCAATGGCTTGTTGTGGTGGGGGTGATTTTGTTATAATATGAAGTTTTATATAAGTGCAGTGTTTTAGCTAAATCTGAGATGTTGGGGGTTAAAAAAATTATTCAAAAATTAATAATAAAAATAATATTATATTAATATTTAAAAAGAGGGCAATTTAGTAATTTAAATAATATACCCACCAATTTATTCTTCCCAACCAAACATATTAATTTAACATACCCACCAATTTATTCTAACATATTTTTCTAAGGATTTCTAATAATCTTCAAGGTAATCTAACTTTTCAGTAATCCAACATTCCCAGTAATCCAATATTCCCTGAACCAAACGCATCCTAATTAGATAATCAAATTGAAAGTTTAGAAAACATTAAAACTAAAAAAAATGATTACAAATAATCTTGAGGGTGCGTTTGGTTTAGGGAATGTTGTATTACGGGGGAATGTTGTATTACTGGAAAGATAGATTACCAGTGAATCTTTAGAGAAATGTGTTTGATTGGTTGAAATAAATTGGTGGGTATGTTATAATAATATGTTTGGTTGGAAGGATAAATGAGTGGGTATGTTATATAGATTACTAAATTGCCCTCATTTTTAAATAATAATATAATAATATAATAATATTTTTTAAATTATTTCTTGTAACCCCCTATATTTGAAATTTTGCTAAAACATCTAGCCATATAAAACTTTAATTTGTAGCAAAATCACCCCCACCCACCCCAACCCACTGCTGACAGCCAGCCACCACCGTCGATAGCCGCCGTAATGGCGCACGACCGACCAGATTTGAAAATTAAATAAAGATTACATGATTAATCTTATATCACCCCGAACCAAACGTAACCTAAGAACATAATATAATTAGACAATACAAAAATATTTGAAAAAAAAACAATAAATTTATATGTGAAACAATTAAAAATTCACAATTTTATATTTTTTGTAATTTGATTTATCCCATTACAAATCTTTTTCATCAATCAAACCATTGTTTTGTTATAGAATGATTTGAATAACTAATAAAGCAGTGGAATGTCGAAAACATTTGTAAAAGAATAGAAAATTAGAATCAATTTTAATAATTTAATATAAAGATAAATTTATTATTATAAAATTGATTAAATAATGAGGTTTTTTAATTTAATGATAGGGTGCGAACAGATCTACTCCATAGTAATTTGTAATAGGAGTTTTCAAAACTCCCGGCTGATTTTCTAGGCTCGGGTCTAAGTGTAATTTATGTCCGGTCGGGCCGGGTTTTGTTACATCCATAGTGCAAAAGCTCACCCCAGCTTTCAGTGGACGAGAAAACAAATAAAAACGAACTCCTCAAACCGGGCTGCCCAGAGTTTGTAGTCTAGGGTTTCTGCCTTCGAGGAAACAAGCTGAGCCATGGCTATGCAAACGGGAGTTAGTTTCTCTAAAATACTGATTTTAGCTGGTGCAGGTATGAATCACTTTCCCTCTCTCGCTAATTTATTCAGTTACAGCTCATCTCTGTTTTGATCTGATTATGAGTTATTAGTAGGATACACGGGAACTGTATTGGTTAATAACGGTAAATTATCGGATTTGTTGGGCAAACTGCAGGTATTGTTCTGTGATTTTTTTTCCCTCAAATTTTATTTGTTGATTGATTGATTGCAATATATTTTGTGCTTATTAGGCGAACTTTGAGGGTTTTTTTTTTATAATTTTTTTAAAAAAAAATTTTTTTTTGGGAATTTCAATTTTAATTTTTTTAATATTTATTAGGGGATTTTACGTCTCATGGACGTGAGAAGCCGTTTCTATTAATTGGTTATATTTGGATTAACGATGGTTCAAAATTATGTATTTTTGTCTAGTTCAGTTAGTTAGGATACGTTCTATTTTTGATCTTGAAAAGTATTATTTCTGTTTTCTACGTTTTAATAGGGAAAAAATTAAACCTTAACAGGAATTGATTATGATTATGAATAATGTCAGTCCAATGGTAGTCTCTAGGTCTTTTTCTTTTTTACAGGAATTGGTGAAGGGATTGGAAAGTTCTGGTGAACATGATGTGATTCTGACCACACTTCTGATGCTGTCGCCCAGGTAATAAGGACAGAGAGTTTGCTTGAATCGTGAACAGAATTTATATTTTCTTTTTTTTCATTTCTTTGTTCAGTATGTTTTATATGCAAACTGAGTAATAATTCAATTTATTTTGAAATTCAATAACATTACGACGTATGGCTATGGAGATGCGGCAGATAGCCTCAAGTAGACCGATAACTGTGCTTAATGGACTTCTGGTGGTATTGTCTGATATGTCTTTTTGTCTATATATCAAGATATTTTACGTTATTTAATATGTCGAATTGTGTTAAATTTTCTAATTTGTGCTACGTTTGATTGTGTCTTTTGGTTTATGAAAAATGGGGTTAAACAATAAATTGATTGATGTACCAAAAAGCTAATTGTGATTGTAAGTAGATATTAGAAAAGGGGTTCACCATAAATTAAATCTAATTGCATTCTGCTTTTGCATAATACCAATCAAGTGCTTTTTGATTGGTTGTATAGTTGCTCTTTGGTTTTAACCTTGCTTAATTGATGTCTTTTCCCTCAACTTGTGTTTTTCTAGGTAGTGCAACTTCCCTTATGATTCCAGCTGCTACTTTGGGGGCGTTAGGTTATGGTTACATGTGGTGGAAGTTATCTACTTTAGGCTATGGTTAATCTGGTTCTCAGTGCTTCTGTGAACTTTAAAGATTTATTTATTTATTTTTAATCCTTAGGAGTTACACATCGTTTTTCATTTTGCTGATTTTTGATCTGTCTATGTACTTTGACGAGACTGATTTTGTTCATTCTGGTTTGTTGTCAGGGTATTTCATTCTCTGATCTTATGTGGGTAACCAAAAAAAGTATGACGGCTGCTGTTTCAAACTTGACAACCATCTGGAAAATTTTACAGAAGCTCTTTCTGTAATTTCAGTTTCATTCCTGCCATTTTCATATATTTTGACTAGGTTTTTATGTGGTTAAGTTTGCTTTGAAGGGCATTTGTGATAACATAAGTAGTTCATGAAAAATACATACTAGTGATTCATTCAGAGCATTTTCATTTGCAAATAGATCCATTGATCGGAATTTCCGATTGGTTGCTTGTTGTAATTACCTTAAAAAAAATTTTCTATTGCTAGCTCTTTACCATTTGATCTATTATAATGAGTCTGTTCAGTTCTTGGTAAGTGCACCATCTTGTCCAAACAATGGTTAAATTTAGGATTTTTGAACTCTCTATTTATGTGCTTCATGTATTTATTTGGGGCTCTTTGTTTCTTATTTAATAAATAAAAAAGAAAAAAAATGATTCTTCTTGTGGATTCAATTTGCCCATTGTCATATGTATGGGCATTGTCAGCTTTCATACTAGACTGGGCTAACAAAATGTTTTCTAAATAAAAGGCTTATTCATATATTGGGTGATTTTTTTCCCTTTTTTATAATAAACTTCTATGTTTTGAATTTCATTGATGACATATACTATTTAAATGTCAATGATGTTCTTTGAATTTCTACTTTAGCTTGAGAATTCAATTAAATCTTACTATTAAACCTAAACCTAACCTCGAATTCAGAAACTAAAACTAATAATCACAGTTATTCCTATTGAATCATAAAAACAGTGATACTTTGTAGAAAATTGAAAGAATAACATGAGCAGTAGATATGAACACACAGAAATATATATTTTAATGGGAACAGAAGTAGGTTAAGGAGAATTAAGAGACATTAATAGTTTAATGGTTGCAACCAGGTTCCACGGCAAAATGGCAGGGATACTTACCAAAGTACTAAAAAACTCTCATGATTTGTTCAATATGAAAAATAAAAAAAGAAAGATTCATTCAGCTGAACGAAGAAAAGATTACAACAATCTTTATGTAAAAACTAAAAAGGTTGGTAACTGTCATAGCTATGCCCATGGTCTATTCTTCTTCTGGCATGAAAGGTTTTTAGTAATATCAGCATTGTTAAATTGGATTTTAAAATATTCAGAAGAAATATATAAGGTCTATTCTTATGGTGGTGCCACGTTTATTTTGAGCGGGCAATCCACATATTCTAAGGGGAACTTGTCTAGTACCTTATTAACACACTTGAATATGCTCACAGGTTTTTATTGTGTTCTTTTGTTGAACAGGTGGCAAAGAGGCATTTGACACAGCGAATTCAGGCTCTGAATGATAAAGTGGAAAAGCAGAATGAGATCTCAAAGGATATTCAAAAGAATGTGAGATTTTCTTTCAATACATTTCTCATGTACTTAAAACATGTGAGATTGCACATGCTTTGTATTTGTATCATTGTGTTTTGGACAGGTGTGTGAGGTAACACTATGCATTCCTTGAATGTTGTGATACAGGTCAAGGAGGCTTGTGATGATCTTTTTCAGGTTGAACATAGTTTGAAGGACTTACAAAGCTTGATTTTCTGTTTGGTGAGTTTTATAATCTTACTGTTATCCAAACTACAAATTTCAGGAAAATATCGTAATCTGCCATGCTGTGTCTTTTGATTCAGTCCCCACATTTCAGATTCCTGTTCCTGAAATTTTTCTCTATTTCCTGGCAACTATTCTTTAAAGAAAAAGAAAAAGAGAGAGAGGGTTAGACATCATGTTTTTCATTAGATTTCAGCCAACAATATGTGATTGCTGCTAAGCAATTCCTTACATGCTTGTAATCATATATCCAGATTCGCTTTTCTGAATTCAATGATTTTTTTCATGTTGCAGGATGGGAAAATAGATTCATTGGGATATAAGCAGGTGAAAATTTTATGTTGATTTTTTGTGTTTGTATGTTAAAAGCTAATTCAATCTGTTGAGTGCAGGAAAACGTATCTACCTATAGCTCTAAGTTTTAATTTTCCCAAAGTATTAATATTGGTTAATAATGAATTTATCTGGGGTCATAATGTTAAGTGACATAGATTGCCATCTTTAATGTACTATCTATAAGAGTCATGGTCTACTTTAAGTATCTATCTGACTAGCAGCTTGATAAGTAGAAACTTGTTTCACATTATCGATTAGTTTGCTCAGTGGTTTTTTTGTTTTTGTTTTTTTTTCCGCTGTAACTTTTCATAATGATAAAATGCTGAGTTTGGTCATTTATTTCTGTTTAGTTGATTTCTATTTTCCAAATTGACATCCGGTGTTTAAGGATTTTGGAATTTGGCTATTTTGTCAATAGGGAACCAAAATACTAAACCACTGTTCCTTGACAAATAGTTCATATTCAATTAAATAACTAAATTACCTTTTTATGCTGAATGAATCGTCCCAAACCTTCTTATAGGGCATGAAAATAGATAAAGTGTCACTAATATGTACTGCTAGCAAATGAAGTAAAAGCCGAATCCCAAAAAAAGGAAGAGAAAAAAGAAGGAAAGCCACATTTTGCTTAGATGTTGACACAGGGAATGAGTTTGTTCCAGAGTAGCATATTCTTTTAGCAATCTACTTTTAAGTTTTTAATTTTAGGTATCCATTCCCTGGTCCTGTCCAAATTAATTAAAGAATATCACTATTATATTCTTAGTATCAGAAATACTTTCTAACAGAAAGTTATCATGACATGGAAGTTTAAATAATTTACCAGTTACAATCAGTTTGATTTTTGAAAATAACTAATAGTGGGTTTAGTTTTGTTTTGCAAACTGGTGAAGTATGCTACTGTTTTTTATTTTGCGAGATGATTATGAAAATTTTCTTAGGTTGGTTGTGGTATTTAATGTTGATGGGGATTATTGGTTACCGGTGCATATTATCGTCAGTATAAATCTTGAGTTTTCTGTTTATGTTTCCAAGTTGCATTGGCTGTTGCTTGTGTTTGGATAGCCCATCTGTGTGCTTGAGGATGTACTTACATAATTCCTTTGGTGACAGGATGTAACGAATGTTGGCATGTACTACCTTTGTAGCCTTGTTGATGGGAAAGAAGGGAAAATGCCTGAAAGTATACAGGTTTGATCTATAGTTGTTATACTAATTTTAAGTTTGTTGACTTTTTTTTTTTTATTTATTTATTTATTTATTTCATAAGTGTGCACCTTAAGATTGCTAATTGGCTAGATCTGGTTAAAGTTATGCATGCCTATTGAAATAAAAGCATCATATCTTGGGTGGGTTCTGCTAGGGGTGGACAAATGCAGTACGGTTTTTGGCTGAACTGAACTGAACCGTATATTTACCAAAACAGTTTGTAAAAAAAACTTTACCATACCATACCATATGAGTAATATAAATGAACCATACTGAACTGAAAAAAATTGTATGGTACGGATCTGTTTTAATTGGGGGGCTCTTTGATATTTTGTAGGGGGTTTATGATATTTTGTGGGATTTTTTGGTCATTTCTGGGGTATTTTGAAAAACAATTAGAGAAAAAAAAAGATAAACAGTTCAGTACGGTATGGTTCAGTTGAGTAAATCAAGAACCGAAAACCTTACAGTATGGTACGGTTTTTAGAAAAAAGAACCAAATGTTTTTTTTTTTTTGGGCAAAAAAACTGTACTGTGCTGTACCCAACCATACAGTTTCATGGTTTTTTTGTTCCCCCCTAGGTTTTACAATCCATCTTCTGTAAGTATTCATTTTATCTGGTGGGTCAAGTGTCTCTGAGTGTACATTTGAGAAACCGTGAAATCATGTTAATTGGGTATAGCAGTGGTTCTGCATTTATACAATTTGGTTACTGATTCTTCTGATCAGAAAAATGGTTCTCAATCTAATCAAGAGTGTCCAGAATAAGATGAAATGTTTCCCATACAATCGTAATTAAAAATTATACTTTCCAAGAGCTCCATAACAAAACTCTATAATAGAAATGTCAACCTTTTTAGTAAAAATTCCCCAAAAGTTGGATCTAGAACTAGAATTTAGGTTTCATAGATGTTCAGTAAGGGTATGTGATGAATCTACCCAAGCATACATCTTGTAGGAGATATTGGATGATTTCTTCTATGAAACATGGTATGGTCGCATTAAAACTTGCATCATGTACTGTTTCTCAGTGAATCAAATAGCAAATCCTGTCTGCCACAACTTCTGTACATTTAAACTGTTTGATTGGCTTTTTCTTGCAGGATAAGTTTAAACTCGGTGAGAATGCTCGTCATTTACTCAAAGCTCCAGGTTCCATGGTATGTATTAAAATTTAAAGAATTCATTTAATTCTTATTTGAATATAAGAATTTTATTGCTTTAACAGTTCTAGGTTCATGGTTTTGAGATGGGGATATAGAGGAATTTTAGACAATAACTGAAACTTTAGCTAGTATATTGGCAATGGTTTTCTTAATTCAATAAAAAATAAATGCTACAAGCTTTTAAGGAGATTGATATATGACATAAACCATAGGTAAGTATTTCCATAGTTAACTGCCATGGATTAATCCTCTTGATGAGAGCTTTTGACATTGAATTCAAAGCCTTATATAGTGTTGCCCCAACTGTTAATATAACCTCTATAATTTTTGCTAGTGGCTGTTAGAGGCCTTACATGTAAGGTCTAGCTCACTTTTTTAAATTTCAAACACTTTGGTTTTTATCAGATATTTATATTCTCCGGTATGGCATGAATATTTTGTACTACTCTATTTCAGGGACTTCAGGAAATTACAGATTGTGTATCTGAAACTGTCAGTCAGAAAGCTGCAGATAATATTCAGAAAGTGGGTACCAATAATTTTGGCCACCAGCAAAGAGTATTCTCAAGGTTTGAATTGTAAATCTTTTCTTTATATGAAATTGAATGTTCAAGTGTGTGTGCGTGCTAGGTTTTGGGCAGCAAGCATATAGACTCATTTGATTAATGTGTTTTTACCTATTGCTACTGCTGTATATTTCTATTCTGATATTGTGATTAATTTAGCATTAGAGTGAGAAGTCTTTATGGTCTGCTACATTGCTGAGAAAATTTTAGGACGAGAATGAAAATACATAATATATACGAGTGTCCACGGGGCAGGATCTTACACAAATACCCATGGCATTGCTAAAGACCTCGTTTCATTTATTTATTTTTATATTCCACTTCTAAAATTTTTATATTAACATGAAAATACATATTATATTTACCGCATTTAATATAACATGATGCAGGATCACTTCAGCATAGCACTGAAGACAGCTTCATTTTGAGATGAACATTTATGTCCAATAAAAATGGTAATTCATTGTTACTCTTTTTTCCATGTACTTTTTGAACACAGTTGGTGTTCATCACCAGGTTGTTGCTGTATATAAAATATGAAAATTTAAAAATGTTGTTTAGTGGTAGTTGCTGCAACGATCTTGGATCCAGTCAAAATATATAGCTAAGATAAATTCAGCATTATTATTCAATATTTGCAAGTGTTGTGAGATTTTGAAAGTGAGTTTCCTGCACTAACCCATTGGATTGCTGTTACACATAAGAGAAAGATAAATAACCCTCCTACCCTTGTTGTATGATCATTTAATTTTAGCATCCTCAAAAAATATCACTTGCTCCTTTTATTAAATTGGTTTTTAACAATTTTGGGAAGGTTTTTGCATTGTTTTAAAACCCAGACCGGAGGGCAACCCGCCCTGCTGTTCGGTTCACAGGTTAATCAGTCCAACCGGTTGGACTGGTGACATCAACACAGAAAAAAAAAAACCTGTTTTTTATTTTGTATTTTAACATTTTCATTTTTTAATAAGACAATAACAATTTAACTGCTGTCCAACATGATTCAAAGTTCAAATTTAATAACAATCCTAACATAATTTAAGTATTTAACAACAATCCAAAATTCAAATCCAAACATAATGTTGTGTTCATCTTCATCCATTACATATTAAATTTAAATGACAAAATACATAATAATTAATAACAAAACATTTGGTGCAAGTGTTTTTTCTTTGATCCGTCTTCATGTTGATTGAGTTTCATACACTAGCATCAAAATTTATCATCATCATCATAATCATAACCATCACTATCACTTACATAAATTTCAGTAAAAAAATAGAAAGCATAAGTTAAAACTTGTAATTTAATTTGAAATAGATATAAAGTTGCTTAAATAGTTGAAACTAACCTTCTGAACCATCGGTTGAATCATAAAAAGAGGGGTGATCAGTAACTCTAGCTCTAGCAGGAATAGATCCTTCTTCATATAACATTTGTTCCAACTCCTCATAATTAAGTTTACTAACCTCTTCTTCACCGTAACTATCCAACATTCAGTTTTGGCAAATTTGGTACAAATTTTTGCTCACACATATCCCTCAAAAGCTCCTTATATTCTTTGGCTGCTTATTCTTATGCCTCAGTCTCAATCTTCACTTGCCTTCTCTTAAGCATATGATACTTTTTAGACTCCATTCTGTACCCAATTTTTTTACTTTTTCTTTGAGTATTCACTCCCTCTTTATGCTCCTCTCTCTTCATTTCTTGCAACAACCCCCGAACTTCGTCAACAATTGACACATCTTCTTCAACATCAGTTGAAGAAATAGTCTCAGCTACACTGGCATACCCTCTCAAACACAACCCATTACCCCAATTACCATTCTTCAAAACTCCAAAACATGGCCTCCCCAAATAATCCTCATGACTAAAAATCTCACCAACCGGACGAGAACCCAGTTCATGATTTCCGCAAGAACCCAGCTCCAAACATCCAAATTTGCATTGTGCACGAAAAATTAAGTCTTGAGAAAACCCCAGAAAGCTGTAAGCACGTGAAAAGGGTTTTTTTACAATCAAGGGAAGAAGACCTCAAAATTGCTTGCTTAGCAACGTTTCTCCACATAACTGAGGAAATATTTTCAGGGTTTTGATAAAGAAGCAGGGTTTTATTGTTATCACAAAGACCCAAGAGATGAAGTTTGTGGGCAGAGATAGGGGCTTTGGTATTGAACATCAATTGAGCTGTCGTCGAGGAATGGAGTTGTCGTTGACGAATGGAGCCGTCGCCGTTGATTTCCAGCGAGGAACGGAGCTGTCGTCGTCGTTGTCATCTAGGAATGGAGCTGCCGTCGATTTCTAGCGAGGAATGGAGCAGCCGTCGTTGTCGTCGATTTCCAGCAGGGAATGGAGCTGTCGTCGTTGATTTCCGGTGAGGGAGGAAGGCGTCGTCATCGATTTCAGAGAGTTCAATTGCGATTTGGTGAATGGTTGCGATTTCATACTTCAGGAAGTGGAGTTCATTGCGATTTGAGTGGGATTTCAGAGATGAATTTGCATAGAGAAGAAGTTGAGAAATCTGAGAAACGGAGAAATGAAATTAGAATGGAATGGGCTTGCGATTGCGTAGATTTAGGGATTTTAGCAACTTTCGACCGGTTTATCCATCGGCGGTTCACATATTTTATCCGGTTTTTAAACGGTTTAAAGCGGGTTATTATATAATAGCAGGTTTAGTGTTGACTCGAACTGGACACATGATTGGGTCCCAATCCAACTGGTTGGACCGGCTGGTCCGATTTTTAAAACAATGGGTTTTTGATGATTAAATTCATCACTCAAGACTATTTGTGATGCTTTATGAAAATAGTGGGTATCTAAGCTCAGGGAGCCTAGTCAGGCGATTGTTCAATGCTGCTTCCACTCCAAACTCGATACCCTTTTAAATCCCCTTGGCTCCTGCAAAGCAAGTTGATATTCTTAATGCCTCTGGTGAGGTGGAAGATTTGGTGACATGTTTTCAGGGCTTCCAGTTAAAATGATAATAATTATTAATTGCCACCCCTGAAACTAAACAGATATTTTTTTAGACCCCTTAATTATTAGAAGCTAAAACAGACCCCAACAGTTAGAATTTAACGTAAAAGTGCATGTTAGACTCCCTTTGGAGATATTTGCTTTGTTCCTTATCTTCAATTTTTTAATTCTTTAAATAGTAAGAAACTAACTAAAATATGAATTTAGGTGGGATATTATCATAGACTATGTAAAGTTTTCATATTTATTACTCAGATGATTTACAAAGGGACCCTCAAGTTTAATTGTTTTTATCATAGATACTCATTTGCACTAACTTTGTTTGCGTTTACTATTTTACCCTAACATTTTTTTTTTTTTTATAAGACTAAAGTTTCTATTTCACTCATCTATTACAAATGACAACCTAACAAAGTTAGGACTAGTGGGTATCTGTGATATAATTTGAAACTTAATAGTCTATGATAAAAAAAATGCAAAAGTTATGATCTGAAACTTTTTTCTTTTAAGAAACCTTAAAGGTAGTATATGATATTCTTTCAATTTAAATTCATCTCAAAAGTTTATAAAGGAATCTTTTAAGAAATATGTATTGCTAATTATTATAAATAGTATATAATTTTCAGTTTGAGATTTTAGGTTTAGGGTTTATTTCTCAATCTGCAGAACTCTTTCTCTTGACAATTCTTGAACCAAAATTGACTAACTTTTGAGTAAAATTTACAAATAAGAACCCTTTCGGTTCTCAATCTTCAAAGTTCTTTGTCTCTGCCTGAAACCAGCAACCTCTTACGACTCTTATTGCCTCCACGAGTTGGTTTAACTAGGTATTCTTTTATTATTATTTTTGCTATTTCTTGTTTAATGAAATTTTAATGGTGAATGTCGTTAACTGGTATTGTGATGATGTGAGTAATAGTTTTCTAATGTTGATGGTATTAATTTTTCTTTTTTTGTTTTTTAAAGAATTTTTCGGATTTATGCCAAGTTGAGGGATCAATACAATTGAACATTATTTGGATGAATTGCCTCTTCATACAAACATTTTGGAATCCAATTTCACTGAGGCAAAGTGGGTAATGAATCCTTTGTTGCCAAGTTTATCATCGGACACGAACATTATTGATTTGGTCATTGGAATTGCTCTTTTTTTGGTGTGCGTTTTATTTGTTGATTTGGTAGAAAATCAAATTGAAGGAGGAGACTAGCCTTTGCAATAAAGCCATTGTTGTGTACTCTAGGAAAGTGCTTAGGAGGTGTTTGGTTGGAGATTATGTGGGATTACTTAAGTTATGTCATCTTATATTACTTAATTATCATGTTTGGTTGTCAAGTAATATAAGATTTCGGTAATCTTCAAATACCAATAGTAGTTATTGTTAGTAATATTGGAGGTAATTTGATTACCTCAATTTTCTTAGGTATTTTTAAACTTATTTACATGAATCTTGCTTTTATCATTTCACCCCAATTAATTAACATTTTGGACAAAATTACCTTTGAAATCAAAACAAATTTCAGTTTACCCAAGCCACCACCCCCACCCACCTGTTGTTGCCCGCCGCCAACCAAAACCATCGCCGGCTGCTGCGCGAAATCACCGGAAGTCACCTGGAGTCGTCGAGAGTAGCCCACCATCATTGGGAGGCTTCGATATGGCTGTTTCAGGCCATATCAAGAGCAGATCTGGCCGAAAATGATCAGATTGATGGGTTTGGCCGTTAAGGCCTTTAGCGGCCATATCTAAATGAGATACGCCCGTTAACAGCCATGGATTTGGCCGTTAACAACCAGATCTATTTTGACCAGAATAGAACGAATCTGACCATTTTCGGCCATCAATATGGCTAGAAACGACTATATCAAGGCCTTTTGGTCACAATGGGCTGCTCATGGCGACTCTAGGTGAATTCTAACGACTTCCGACGGCGGTTTGCGGTGGCAGTAGGCGGCGGCAGGGTGGTGGGGGTGATTTTGTTATAAATTAAAGTTTTATATAAGCGGTGTGTTTGAGCTAAATTTGAAATATTGGGGGTTAAAAGAAATTATTTA